AATATGGAAACAAAAAATATAAAATCGGCAAATAAGTTGATAATCCAGAAAATCTAAAACTTGTGTACCCATTTTAACTTCCATAAACCAATCCAAAAAAAAATAAACAAGTCGCAGGTACTCTATCTAGAAATTTCCTAAGGGCACATTTGGTTTTCTAGACAGGATTGGACTATTTTAATTAGTAGAGGCCTGATTACATTGTTTAGATTACAGAAACCCACTGTTTGTTATGCATGATTTACGTTTTCGATAAAATTGAAAATAAGATGAACCTACATTTGTTTTGCATGATATGAATTAGATTACCGTGTATATTGACTAAATTGCCCCTGTTTTAGCTGTCAAATTTTTCGATTCATTGGTGATTTTTTTAATTTTTTTCCCTGCGTGTCGGAGACCGAAAATGCTTCCTCCTCCGTTGTGTTTCTTCTGAATTATGCGGATGGCAGATCACGACGGGCTCGTCGATTACCAAACAATTTGAAGAAATCATGTTGTTGGTGGTGCGTCCTCCTATTTGCAATTTCACTCGTCCAGTTTGCCTCATAATAATTTTTTCCGTTTATTTTTTAATCGTTCTTCATTACTTCCAAAATCTATAATATTTTGAATGTCGTAATTTAATACTATCATAATTGGATCTTTGAACATTGTTTATTTTACGGGGAAGCGAAGTAGTTCAGCCTATCCCTAATATGCTTTTCCACTGCTTTGAAAATCCTAGTTAATGGATTCTTCAGACGATGTCGATTAACCTGCAAATTTGTAGATTTTATTCTTTGACTCCAATTGCTTGTTTTGCTGTTGGTTGGAATAATGACAGTTCCACTTTTCGAGCGTCCGTATTTAGATTTAATTTTTCTATGAAACAATTTCCTCGCCAGTGTATATATATATATATATATATATATATATATATATATATATATATGCCCCAGGGCATATTCAGTACTCCATTAACGAAAGTGGGGGGAGTACACTTTTCATATAAACCAACCAAAAACATGCCTCGTCTGTCCGCGGTAATAACACAAGACGAGTGCTTGTACGATGACCGCTGGACAAAAGAAGCCGACAATCTTTTTATTGACCTTCTAATGGAGGCAAATTCTGTGGGTGATTGGAAATATGGGAGACCCGTTAACTCAGTTTTTTATTACTGTAGGTTGGGCATGAAGGCAGCATTGGACCTAAACTTTAGCCTTTGTGATGTTGAGTTGCGGTTTGATTTTCTCCACAAACGGTATAGTGTTTTCAGTTGGATGCTTCGCAAACACGGCTTACGGCATTGGGTGAAATCAAACGTCTTGACGGCACCCGTCGCTGTTTGGGAAGACATATTCGAGGTATTACTAACGAATCCGAGTTATGCGTTGTTGGTTTTTTGTCTTAATTGGACATGCCAAAGAAAGTTTAAAACGAAAAGAACAATAAACTTTTGGGTATGGATTGTGGTTAAAGCTCTATGGGCAATTTTCTAAAATTGTTCTCAGGTAGTGGACTGTGGATTACTTTGTTTATTCAAAGCATTGGTTGGACTACTTCAAATTGTTATTCACTTCAATTGATGTTCACTGAAATTGTTATTCTTGTTGGTTTTGTGTTTTGTTAGTCCAACTCATTTAGTGTGGCCTATCAACATTATAGCGATCCTCGTTGGAATAAGCTTAAGTTTTTTTTCTCTTTGGTATATTTGGCCTCCTCAGACTGTGCAATTGTTCCAGACTTCCATTCTACTAATGAACATGTCGTCTCCGTGCTGATTGACACATCAGACCTCTTGTCTGAACCATCAAACAATAATGTCGTCATTCAATGTCCCACGGCAAACAGTTTTAAACGAGGTATGAGGCCACGGGAACGTGATGTGTCTTCCGAGTGCTCAGTAAATACTCAGGCACACCTTTTGAATCCAATGCGTGGGAGTCTAACCCCTATGCGCATTCCTTGCCCTCCTCGTAAAAGTGCCCCGTCCTTGTGCAAGGGATCTTCTAGCGATCCACGCATTTGATGACTCTAACTTGTCCTAAGATTTTATTGTTCATCGTATTTGGTCGGAGCGTTGTACGTTGTTGAAGTTGGTGTTATTTGCTTATTACCAATGTTATGTGGACAACGGTTAGTTTTTTTTCTCCGTAATTTATGTAGTATGAATGCTCGTTCAAGTGTGTTGTAAGGTAGTACCTTCAATTTAATATATTTTGTTAGGGTGATTGATCCTCTTCTGCATTTCAAATATTTTGATAACTCTTCTACTACATACACATGAGATGAATGACAATGACTTTCAATACCGGGTCACATTTCTTGACATTTGTACTACTTCATTTGATGCGGATGAATTAGTGACAATATTGTGCCAAAATAAAAAAACAGCACTTGAGTAGCATTATAGAAACCAAGATGCATAGCACACAATAGTGTTACATAGTTACAGAATCCAAGTAGAACACTGAAGTTTTCCTTCTCGTTTATGGCAACAGGTTTTCAAAAGTAACAACAAAATACAGCCCTGTGTCTCATCACACCTTGAGGCAGATAATTATATATATTACTTAGGATGAAATGACCACAAAGAAGCACAAAAGACAAAAGGAAGTGGTCATCATGTCCCAATATAACCGTTTCACTAGTCTGACTGGACGCACGACTCAGCATCGCTATCCAGCTCCATTCCCTCATCGACAATGGCCTCGGCGACATCCACTGCTGCTGGTGCTTCTTCGACATGTTCATCGTCTTCGTCAATTGGAAGGTCCTCCATATCGTCATCGTCGGTATCGTCAACTGACTCGATATCGTCCAGATTAATGGGTTCGTGATTCGCTATTCCCGGACCTCCCCTCCCTCCATCTCAATCTATGTAGCCGCACGTTCGTCGAACACCTCGATGCATGCATTGTACCAACGGAATCCATTCCAGCGAAAAAACACCTCATGATCAGTTTCTAAACATTAATTCATTAAATATGACTAATATGCATATTATAAATACTAAAGTTTAGGGCTTTTTTTTAATATAGAAATTAATGGCCATGCATTACCTCTCCGACGTACTGCCAATATGGCTTATCAACATTCATAGAGGATCGGATGTAATTTTGGAGCAAGCAACATGCAAGTATTATGTTATTCTGCGTGCCTATTTCGAAAAAGGTTTTGCTCCTAAGGACACCCCACCGCATCTTCAGAACTCCGAATGATCGCTCTATCACATTTCGAGCCCTAGCATGTCTTAAGTTGAACAATTCTCGATAATTTGTAGGGGCTCGATTACCGTCACCAAATTCATCTATATGATATCTCACACCTCTATAAGGAGCAAGAAATCCAGGCCCTTTTGTGTAACCACAGTCGCAGAGGTAATAATTTCCTGTTTTCATACACACAAAGCTGGAATAATAAATATTAGTTATTATTATTATTTTTTTATTTTCTAACAATTAGATTTGTCTTCGTAACATTAATATGTCTTCAATAGATTTACCGATGGGTACACGCAACCCCTCATTTCTATGCACGACATCCCGTAGTACACGACTGTCTGCCGCAGACCCTTCCAACCCGTTAGTACGTACGAGTTATTCATTTCTCAATTGTATACTCCAAGAACATTTACGGAAACAAAACCTTTTCGATTCCGATACCGAGGGTGTAGGTGTGAAGGGACACGAACAAGTATATATGTGTCATCAAGTGCTCCTAAGCATCCCTGTGCACGAGATAAACTGAAATATTAACCAACCAATTCATTCAGACATATGAAATGAAAAACAAAAATTTTAGAGATTATTATGACGTCACCTTAAACCATTTCCATCTCCAGTCATTACATGATTCATCAACAGGGCTTGGTTCTACAACAAGAATCAGGTAGAGTCGAAGTACCGCTTGAAGTACAATGTGGAATAATTTGCTAATTGTTTCTCCTGACCTTTTAAAATCAAAATTCACGACTACATTTTTTTATGGTGGGCTAACACACTCAAAAAGATTGCAACTTGTTCACTTATTTGAATGTTTTTTCTGTTTTTTAGTCTACCGACGTGTTCCAATAAAAAGCATAACCTACCAAAGGCATTACGGTCCATTCGAAGTTGTTGAACACAAGTTTCGTCGCTTATATCTATTAAATGCTTCATGTGCTCTATTTGGCTTGGAAGCCTATCGGCCATTTGGTAACGCTTTGCATTAGACCGAACCCTAATTCTACGGCGATTCTTCGGATGGACTACAAATTTCAAATAAATGTACGCAAACAAGAAAACGATCTTGATAACATTCAACATTTCTTCCACTACCAAAACTGCCTCCGCCTCGTGGGTTTCGAAGTTCATCCTTACTTCGGTAATCTAAGCAATGTTTGAGCATTTATGAGAATGGAATGCAAACAATTCAATGCATACCAAATGTGACCTAATTTTCTTATTTTTGTCCGACTTCAGTCTCCAAATTTTCAACTTTATGCAATTCCAATCTCAAATTTGTAAAACGGTACACAAGTTTTGATCGAAACAAAATAACACATATTAATAAAAACTAGTACGTACCCCGTGCGATGCACGGGAGAGAGGTATTAAATGAATTATTTTCACAGGCTCTATCCGTTTAAGTGTGAGAAGAGTTATTATCCATTTTCCACCTATTTTAATCACCGTTAAGTCTCGTTTAAGTCTGAAAAGAGTTATCATCTATTTTCCACCTCTTTTAATCACCGTTAAGTCTAAAAAAAATAGGGTTGTAATCTATTTTTCACGTCTTTTAATCAGCGTTGTTTTAGTAGTCAGAACATTAAACGTGGACATGTTAGGGCTAACTCGTACAATAATTAATATATTATCTCACTAACACATTTATACTAATATAAATTTAATTTTATTATATATATTTATTCATTGATATAAGAGAAAATAACAATTTTACTTATTCTTATTCACTATATAATAGTTAATTATTAAACTCTGTTGCCATATAATGTCATTATTATTTATAAAGTTATACAAGTTACACGTCTTCTTGTTCTTTTTATTTTATGTAATGAAATATATTTAATGCACGTTGGTATTATTTATATAAGTAATCAATTTAAAATATGTAAATAAATTTTAAATTAAATAGTGTATAAATAATGTACAAAATATATGCATATATTTTTCTAAAATTTAATTTTCTATACTAATTAAATAACTTTGATTTAAGAAAAGCCATGAACTCAATCTCTTCTAATATCAATATTTATCTAATTTGCATTGTAATGATTATTCTTATTATATATATAGATTAGAATTTTTGCGACACCAACCAAACTAAATATCACAACAACCATGTAACAATTATGAAAAAACATATAACACAACAACTATCAATTAAATTTGGTAATAGAAAAATTACATACGTATATATAAAAATATGAGGATTCTATATTTCTATTAACTGATGTATACACCGCGTGTATATTTTGTTAAGGTATATTGGAATGTTCAATTTCATAGCATGATAACGATCAGTCCTAAAAAATCAAAAATCTTATTGAAATGCCATATTTTTCTGTTAAAAAAAAGTTCCCATAAAAAATAATTATATCATAGAAAATTCATTGTGTAATTGAACAAATTTCTATAATGAAGCCCGATTTTCTGTACAAAAATAAAGCAACAACTTCCACATTTTAAGAAAATCAATTAATGTTGGTCCATTTTTGCTAAGAAAATAATAGATAAATAAATTGTAATTAATGAAAAGTAATTAATGATGAGAGAATTTGACCATATCTGTTTTTAAAAATCGTAACAGAAAAACAAATATTAAATAAAACTGTATAATACGGAAATAGTAATGGCAATAAATACTGTTGACTTTTCTAGTTACTAAATTTGGTAAATAAGACTCCCTTTAATATAAGTATAGATAGATAATAACAGACCTAAACATGACCTCCCATCACTATTCATTAAATGTTCAATTAATCTTATTTTTCTGCCTCGGCTGAGATGGCTGGGGTGAGACAAAAAAAGATTTGTTGGCTTTGAAGATCTTGTGGCAGTTAATAAACCAACACTAAAAATTTAAAAGAACCCAATAAATTGGTCCTCATATTTCTAAAATCCATATCCCCAACCAAATCCATTTTCTTCATTGTTTTTTTACCTATCCTAAATCTCAACATGCAATTTCTCACTGTAATGTGATAAATCTCTTGAGCCCATTAGTTCATATCTGTCAATGCCCCAGAAATGCCAGGAACCATACAAGTTACAGGTAAAAATGCTCATCTTGCCTCCAAACATTAACTGTACATCAAATGTGAAAATCTGTAATTACCTACTGTGATAATTATAATTTGATTTTATCTTTATAGTGCTGGGATTCAAAGGTGTTTCATCTTCATCAGAGCCTTCCGCAAAATCCCTAAAAGGCAAGTCATTAAAAACATTCTCTTGATTTATCCATGTAATTTATTTGTTTCTTGATGTAAAGAGTTTCTGTTTACTCTGTAAATTTGCATTTTGTTAGCAGTTTCCATGGGGAAAAGACAGTATCAAACCTGGGACATGGGTGAATTTTCTTTGTAATAACTCTTAACCTACTGGGTGATGTTTTCAATCAAGATTTACAACAGTTTTTTATTGAAAGTAGAAAGCATAATGATAAATCTTTTTTGCAGCCCCATCACAAAACTTGGTGAGGATTTAGTTGTTGCCCTTTTGGATGCTGCAGGAAATGTAATAACTCGTGCAGGTTTATAATACATTTACCCTGCAAGAACTGTTTGTATAATTAATTTTCTCTATAGTTTAGTTCGTTCGAGATGAAATTTGATTGTTTGGTCTCGGATTAGATATTCGGACGATGAAAATAATCGAGAAGGGATTTTGGGATGAAGTTTTCTCCATTAATCGGGGAGGACACGTGCACATGAAATTGCAATTTGTTCTCAGTGAGGAGGAACGCAATCGAATTCGTGCTATGGTAACTTCCTTGTTTTGTTTTTCCTTAGTGAAGAATGTGTCATTTTCCCAAAAGCGAATATGCGTCTATGGAGGAGACTCATAGTAAGAAATATATGCACTCAAAAACGAGGTTTTTTGGTTAACCGTGGTTAATTTTGAAAAAAAGTGGTATGGTTAGTTTTTATTGGGATTTTGAGTTTATTAAAATAATATTTAAAATAAAATAGTTAAAGTTGGTTTGATGTAAAAGTAGGAGAGAGAAGATGTGGAGTGATAGTTAGTTTTATTGATTGATATTATTTAATTATATTGATAATATTGAGGATAGTGTCGTTGAGTTAAATTTTGAGTATGGACTGAGTATGAATTGAGTTATTTTATATACAAATACACCCTCAAGGCTAAATTTCGAGTCAATTTTTAATTGTATGTCATTATTAAGTGTTTTAGTTTGTTTCNACTTCAAAAATAAGCATCACAATGTGCCTAGGGGATATTCTGTTTTTGGTGACCATTGTGAACATGTTTCTTTTCATCATTCTTATATTGTTTTCACCGAGAAAGACATTTATCAGAGACTCGATTCTTGATTTAGAAAGTATTGTCAGCAATGGCATGGCATAATTGCACCTTTTTTGGTTTCTTTTCGCTTGCAGAGAGAATCTGCTTTGAAGAAGAAACTTGAAAAGAACCCGAACTTCAACCTTAAACATACTGAAACCATTTCTGGTTAGTTCTCATTAATACGTAAAATAATACCGATTTTTTCTTTAAAATGTAATGGCAAATGAAACTGATGACGACACATCTATTTAATTTGTTGCTGAGGTTTTTTAAGTGTGATTTTACAACTGCTTCATTGTCTTCTTGAGATATCCAAAAGAGGTTTTTGTTGAAATAGATGTATTGAGAACTAAAGTTGACGGCTCTCAAGCTAGTTCGTCTTCAACTTCTCCTTCTTCATCTGCCACGTCACAATCGAGTTATCAAAAGGAAGGTGTAAGCATACTCGAAAGTGCAGTAATCCCAGTTAAGGAATTATCAATCGTATGGTAGACCAGTTTTGTTTCATTTTCACATGAAAATTGTACATTTGACGAGTTTGCTTGTTTTGGCTAACAACGATTT